GGCAGTGACAATAAGCCAGGATGTGCAATCCGGTACAGAGCCACCCCAGCACCCACAGACACCCACCAGCACACAACACAAAACCGGGTGCTGGTGTCCACAGCATCACGGCCATACAGGGAGGAAGAGGGACAGGACGCCACCACTCCCAAAGCAGGATTTGCAGAGGTCTCCACCAGCCACAGGCGCAGTGCGTCTACAGGAGTTTCAGTCACCCTTGATACCCTGAAAATCAGTAGTGAAAGCAATGCCTTCCTCCCCTGCCTGATCCCATAGTGAATACACAGACACATCAAAACACCCATCTGCATGTACAAGCATAAAGCTCCATACAGGCGCACAGCCAGATGCAAACATTTAAGGGTTAAGTGAACCAAAACCACTTGGGTTTTTTAAGGAAAAGAAAAATACACCTGGACATAGTCCCATAATTAATTCCAAATACATTAACCATAAAAAGGATTTATAGCAAAACAAGATTTAAATGCTGTGGAACAAGCTGCATGAGCCTTGTTGACCAAATAACAGAAAACTTAAAGTAATTTATTACTCTCTCAAGCAGCATGCATATTTTATGCTGGATTTGATGGCCCTAATATAATGATTTGATACCAGGTCTTTAGCTTGGTACCTTCCTCATCCCCCAGTGTCTCAAATACAAATACCTGTTTCATGACAAAAATTCAGAGATCTCAGTTCTAAAATTACTCATTCCTTTTTTTTTTTTTAATTTGAGTCAAAGTCAGGAGAGTCTGAAACTTATAACAGATTGGTTTGCAGACTGCAAAACAAAACTTAAGCTGTGAAAAATTAGTTAAAACAAAGACAATGCATTTTCTGTCCATCCTCAATTTTGTTTTACTGAAATAAGAGATTCCTTAGAAAGAGAAGAAAATACAAAAGTTCTGGCTACAGCAAGTAGAATTTAACCCAGAAAGCTTTTTCATCAAGACAAAAAAAAAGGATTCCTTTACAGTAAAAAAAAATGAAGTCATTAAAATACAAAAAGCAATTCAAGTTTACCCCCAAATTGACTTTGCAACTTTTAATATACGCATCTAAGCTGAGGCACCTCCATAGGAGTACAGCTGTTGTTAAACCAGACCTTATAACACCACGTGAAAGCAAACTTGGGACTAGATGATCTTCAAGGTCTTTTCCAGCCTAGATGATTCTATGAAACCCTTTTTATTTTGAAATTAAATCATTACATGGTGCAGTACTCCGCCATTCTGAAACAGTTTCAAGTAATATTTCTGAAACTCCAGTCTCAGAGGTACAGCTTTGCAGACAGGGCACATAAAATTGTGACAGAGCTCTTACTGTGAATAAATAATGGCAGCTATATCTAGAAAACAATACCAGCCTACACACCACTTGATAAATAACCCCCATTAAGAAGCTCCAGCATTTTACAAGCATACCAGATAACTAGCAGTGATCACACTATAATCCATTTTAATTCTCATTGAAAAGTGGGTTTGCTTCACCCAAGAGAAAGTCTTTCTACAGGCAGGCAGTTTGAAGCAAAGGAAGGTGTATTGCAGCTGAAACACCTGAATTTGGATTACTGCAGAATATTTTCAAACCTATTATGAATTCTTATCTTGAAGGCATCATGCTTTCACTGAAGCACACCCATTTTCACCCAAACCGGTCTATAACAGCAAGAGTTTGCTTACCTAGCTGCTGCCTGGGATGCAGCGTATCAACCCTGGAAGAAAGTCTCACTGAGGTGGGTAACCTGCCACCAGCCAAACACAGCCCCTACCCCAAACTGGCACCCCACAGCCAGCTGGTGGGCTATTAGCCCTTTTATTAACAACCACAGCAGCACTCAGGCTTTGCAGGTGTGCTTCATTCTGGGGCAAATTCAGCTCAGCTGGTGAGCAGGAGATGTCTGAAAGCAGGTGGTGGCCCTCAGGAGCCCAAAGCTTCTGGGAAGCCACAGGGCAAGAGGCACAGCGAGACCCAGGCTGCTCAGGGTACGAGAGTGCCTCTGCTGTTCCTCAGGGCAGAAGCCCACAATATTCTGAAAACAGGTGCTAATGTTTTAGTGTTTGTGTAACATCTGAGACAGCGATGAAAAGGCATGAAAAATACCAGAAGAGAGGTGTTCTCCTCTGTGAAATGGAACAGCTTTGTAATCTCGTTAGGGCTGATTGCAGCATGGTTTGTGCCAGGCGAGAGCGAGTTCAGGGCTGCCCTGACATCACTCCAGGTGCTTTATTTACTTTGAGATGAAAGCGATGGCACACAGCAAAGCTCTACCAGAGAGGAGCTTTGTCAAAGCATCAAGAATGATTTCCCTTCCCACCAGCAGACTGTTCTCTGCAGTTAGGAAGAGTGCTTGCAGCAAGGAGTCACGACTGCTCAGGATCCATCCGACACCCCTCACCCTCCCCTGGTTTCATACAGAGTTACCCACTTGGGGTAACTTAGTTACCCAACTTGGGGTTCCAAGTACATCTTTTTTTAAAAAGGCACCCAAATCCTTCTGCACATTTACCCCCTCAACATCCTAATTAAAAAAGCAGCTGCTTTTTATGGCCTTGTGTCAGCTTGGAATAATTTTTCTTAGTTATTGAAAACAGCTGCTCTTCTGATTAGTACACTAAGCATTTATTTTCTCTTATACCAGCGTCAAACCGCTTCATTGCAGCCCAGACAGGAGACAGTTTTACAAAATAAATCTGTGCTAAGTAGAAGCACAAGTGAAACGGAACAAATATTTTGGCATTTTTTTAGCAGTGCTGCATAATGAGACAAAGCACATCCTCGATCAATTCATTCGCCGTTGTTGTGACACGGCATGAAAAATGAGGGAAGCCATATAAAAATGGGGGGGGGGGAGTGTTTAAGACTTCGAAACGCCTTACAGAACGCTTTGCTTTGGTAAAAAGTTGCTGCAGCAGAACGCTTCACCAGAGTACTCCCCAGCAGTGAGATTGCAAATGCCATGGCAAAAACAAAGACCTTTTGAAGTGATTAAAGTTTTCCAGCCAAATGGTCTTGGGGAGGCTACCCAGGAGCAGGCAGGAGAGGGTGAAGCCCAGGCTGCAGGATGTTTCCTCCTTTCCTTCGCTCCAGCCCTCCTGCAAATCTGCTGCCTTGAAAGCTCTGAAACCCTTTGAGCAGGGAGGTTTCACATGGCCTTTAAAAGAAAGAAAAATCTTACTGAGGCACCAGCCCCGTGAGTCTCTACTTGTAAAAGGAGGAAGTGTGTACATTTGTGCTGAAAATTTCAATTAATTTGGAACAATTTTTGAGCCCAGCTGTGGACTGATCTGATTAAAGTTACTTGGTTCAAAAACGACACATGGTTTGGCCAGGATACCAAAGTAGGAAAAATAATGATGTAGAGAAACAATATTTTCCAGGTATGGTTAATACAATTTGATATTAAAGATAACTCCCTCTCTACAAAGATCCATATTTGTTCAAAGCACTTCTCACTGTGCTTAACACACTCAACTTTGCAAGACACTTGTTTAATGTATTTTAATTTATTTTTTTTTAAATCAACAAACTGCTTTCAAAATAAACATCAATGCTTTAAATTAAACTAAAAGTACCACTGGCACAGCTATAGACCCTAAGAAACATGAATATGAAGGAGCTGTGTGTTATTTTGGTAACTTGTATGCATGCTTCTTGCCTTCCCAGTGAGGGTTTTGGGCAGAAATCCTTCCCACTGCTATTTGGTTAATGATAAAACCTGTCCTTAGCACAGGAGCCAGCACAAACTATCACCGCAACTATCCCGTATCCATGAGAGGGGTTTAGAAATCAGGGGGACTGTGTCCTGTGCATCCCGGGTCCTTCCCCAGGACCTTTGCACAGCCTGAATTTTCTCCAGCTGCTGCCATTCACCTGCTCTCAGAGCCCCTTTGCAGGATTTAAGCAGCTCAAAAATCTCCTCATCAGGCTGCCCCCCTCCAGGGGTGTATTTTACACAGAGATTTTGGGATGGAAGCAGGTGCTCTGTTAGTTTGTTCTATAGTGTTGCCAGCTCCTCTTTTCTGTAAGAGGACCAGGCAATTAATTTACGGAGAGGATTAGATCTGAGCAGATTCTTGAGAGACTCTGAATTTTTGCATTGCTTTCTCAAGAGCATTTGTAGAGGTTATTTATACAAAAAGTGTAAGAAACTTCAGGAGAAGAGAAAATTGATAGTCAGATGTCCATATACCACCATCTGTTACAGGGGCCGTACGGGAAGCAGCGTGAAAGCACAACAAAAGAATTGAGGGTGTTGTGACAGCAGGAATCCAAAATTATTATTACAACTTCTTGGTTTTCCTCAATATTTAACAGCTGCCAGAGAGTTCATAAACTGAAATCTCCATCTTTTATATACTTAGCACTCTGGATTTGAACTACATAGGAACTAACTCAGATTAAGCACCAAATTAAGGATCGATTTTTTGACAAGGCCAGTACAGCTCATATTTGAATTGCTGATATTGAAAGAGGGCTGCCAAGCTGATGAGTTGAAGGACCCTTTACATTTACCAGACAGATAGGGTCAGCCTTTTAAAATTGCCTTGTTTTTATCTTAAAATTTAACAGCAGTTCTCTGGTGTCAGTTTTCTCACTGTATAAAAAAAAGTCTCTGGAATTCTTCATCTTGGTGTCATGTAAAAAGAAGATATTAGGGACAGGGACGTGATTTATGATGGTATTTAAATATGGTATGGAAAGCACCGTGGCAATTTAAGCAAGGAAACAGAGACCAAAGGGAAGAGTAGCCTAATTCACCCTGTCCACGTCGGGGTCAGACCCAGCATTCATCAGATCACTGAGAAAATGTCCCAGGCTTGCAACTGTCTGAGAAGACAAGTAAATCCCAGTGCCACTGCAGGCTAACTATGGGGCTTGAGTTTTATTTCTAAAAAAAAAGAGTGATTGGAGCAATTTTGTGTTAGTTAATATGCCAAAGGCGGCATAAAGTTACTATGATGAGAGAAGGTGCATTAATAAGGAAATATATCCAGAGATTATTTAATGTCATACCTTTATTTCACAAGATTCAGTTCCATTTTGGTAAACCAGCTTTTAAAAAATGTGCCCACACATCTACCGGGCCGTCACAACACCTCAGGACTCGTGCAGGTGCCAAAGCCGACTCCAGGCTGCTTCCTCCTCCTCCTCCTCCTCCTCGCTGCAGCTGAGGACTGACCCCACAGCATCAGATGAATTGTTAGTGGCTCAGAAACTGGGTTTCTGAGTAGCCTAATAAATTGGATTACGGATCTCTCAGTTACTTTTGAAAGTTTCAGATATATTTTTGCCTAAGGACAATAGTTAGGGGTTTTTTTTTTTTTTGCACTGATCAAATAGCTCTAATACTCTTTTAGAAAAACCTTTATATAATTCATGACCAAGTCTAAAGTACTAGATAATAATTATTCAATGATAAAATAAATCTTTTCATGAGACTTCAAGAAACCTACTTCTCATGTTCATGTCTGATTAATCTCTATAAATCAAACACTGCAGTCTTTACCAAAACCAATAGTTACCAGTACTGATTTCCAGAGGAGGTTTGACCATGCAAGGATTGCAGAGACTTGACCTGATTAAAACTGCAGTCGGACAATGAGTTTCATTACATAATTTTAAGAGACTAATTTCAAACCTGAAGTCTGTGATGTGAAATGCCCTCCCCATGCCGGTCCTGCTGGCGTTTGGACAACGGTTTCTCTCAGCCATTACCCAACTGCACAAAGGACATGCTGCTTCTTGGGGCTGCTAGCTAAAACTAACCCATAGATTGCAAATATAAATGTTTTTTGTTAAAAGATCATGAAACCTAGCGACTAAACCAATATGCTAAACGGATGCTCATTTCTCCTCTTGCAGGCAAAGCATGCTTCTCAGTAATATCTTTGCCTTTTAAATCTATAGCAGGATCTCAAAAACATCTGGATACAGAAGGAACCCTGTGAAGACGCTGTCGTCCTCGGCGCTGACGTAGACCCCGTTCCAGTCTCGTGCTACCTCCAGCCACACCTGGTCACCCGCGCTCAGCTTGAGGACGGTGAGGAAGGATGCCTGGTCGATCTCCTGGCCGTAGAGCGTCTCACGGGCTTTGGCCACCTTCCTGCTACGGGCCACGAGGCTGACGCGGGCCGGACGCCCTCTCACCGTCAAGTGGTAGGCGAAGACGTACGCCCCGGGCACGCTGCAGTTGAATTTCCCGGTGGAAGGGTTGTAATCTTCTTGGTCGTTGTACAAGATCTTGTCAAATCGAATGGGGACGTTGGGCGGAGGGAAGGGCTTGGACAAACCAGCGCTGAAGGCCGATCGCAGGAGCTTTGCGGAGTCCCCTCGGGCACCCTTTGCCCCACGGGAGCCTTTCTTTCCGGGGGCCCCTCGGCCCCCCTTGCTGCCGGCGACCCCCTTGGGCCCCGAAGGTCCCATCATGCCAGTGGGTCCCAGGTCCCCTTTATCACCCTTACTTCCTTGCTCACCCTTTTCTCCCTGTCTTCCATCCACCCCCTGAATACCCTCAATCCCCATCTCCCCTTTGCTCCCTTTTTCTCCCTTCATGCCCCCTTCCCCTCTTTCTCCCTTCGCACCTCTTCCCCCCGGCTCCCCGCAGTACCCTTTCTCCCCTGTGTCTCCCTTTTCCCCTTTGTCACCCTGCTCTCCATCTGCTCCTGGGTCTCCAGCATCCCCCCTATCTCCCTTGTCTCCTTTGGTCCCATTCTCACAAGTGTCCCCTTTGGACCCCTTTTGTCCCTTCAGTCCAGGGAAGCCGTAGTTGCCCTTATTGCCTTTTACTCCACCTTCACCTAGGAAAAGGGCAAAGCGGGGGGGGGAAAAAAAACATTTAAAATATTAATATTAGATTGATTGGGAGATGTTGGCATCACCGACAGCAAAGGGACAAGTCGGTGCAATATTCCTGGGTTTCCCAGCCCGTGTTACGTACCTTGCAGCCCAGGTTTGCCTGGATAACCGGGGTTTCCACTTACTCCTCGTTCTCCTTGCTCCCCTTTGCCTCCTAGGACATTTCACCATTAATATACTGGTGGTGGTGGTGTCTGCAGCACAGCAACCATTACACCGAAGATGACTGATACTGTTTTGCATGTGTCCCTCACTTCATTAATAAAACAGACATGAGCAATGTGTGTTGTCAAGAAATGCCTTCAGAAACCTCGGCTGAATCCCACAGCACCGTCACGCAGACAACTGCATCTCACTCAGATGTTGGATTTCTGACTCTAATCAGCGCCTCGTTGGGAGGCGGCTGCTGCTCTTTAATGGCAAGGTGGAGAAGATGACAGCTCTGTGTTTCTCACTCCAGGATTGCCAAATGTCTTGTTCAAGAAGTGAATCAAAGCCTAAGAGGCTGCACTGATGAGCTGCGCAGCACGCAGCTGCTGGTACCCCCGTTACCAGCTTTGTGGTGTGTTTCTCCATGACCAAAGGCAGCCACAGGATCCTACCAATGGGCTGTGGCAGCAGGAGAGAGATGCTCGGAGTCTGAAATAAAGGCCAGGGTTTCCTTTTGGTTACTACTGATGGAAAATAATTGCTTTCCACCTTAGCTGAAATAATTTTGCTTGAGATGCTTAAACAGAAATGCAGTTTCGACACCTGTATGTAGCTTCCATGGTGGGTTTTTTTCCTACTTACTTCCATAATCCAAAGCAAACTGAACTTAGTTTTGAAACTCCCATTCAGAGCAAGGGGTTTCAAGTGAGATCTGTATGAGCAGCTCCTCCTATACCGCCTGCACATACACTACCACCATCTGAGTTATTGTGCCTGCACTAATGCCAGCTAAATCTCTCGGGGTGTCAATCCATACCAGCATACTCCATTTCCTTTTAAAAATAATTTTTCCTATAACTTTGTGGTATTTGATGAGGACAACAGCATCTGTTTTCAAAATGAGCAGTTAGTCTGGTTTACCTCTTTCTCCTTTAGAACCTTTTGGACCTTGAGGACCTGGCGTTCCTGGCAGACCTCGCAGACCAGCATCTCCCTTATCCCCCTTGGGACCTGTAACATCATTACATCGACAAAATTATCTTAGTAACTCAAAGGATTAACTTTATAAATAAAATTTGCAATGACAGCTAAGCAACATGGCATTGGGGAATGCACATAAGGCAAACCCTGTTTCCATCACCCTGGGAAGAGCTGGCTATTTTATCGGACATCATACAACCAATGCAAAGAAAAGGTGAGACAGAGGGGTTTGCCCGGAGCCCTGCAGGCACTGCAGCTGAAACCCCCAGCAGAGTGAAAGGTGAGGGGTGGCAGGGGCAACGCCACGATGCTCATGCTGAGATTAGCGGGGTGCCTGCTCGCAGGTCCCCTGGTCAGGCACGCAGCTCCCCAACCTCTGCCCAGATCTTACAGTTTTGCATTTCACTCTTGGCTGTAGTTAAAGACTTTTTAAAACAAAACTTTCAGCTGCTTCAGAGCCACAGGAGCTCAGACATTCATAAAACATCAGACATAATCTGTCTTTAATGTTTGAGCGCATCTAAGGAGCTCCCATAGCTTCATAATTGCCCCTCTCCTTAAAAAGAATTAAGTCTACAAATATAAAAGTGGAACCTGGCAGACAGCTCCATGCTGTATAAAGGATGGATTGAAAGGCAAGCAAGCTGGCTTCAATCTTTTTTTTTTTACTTTTTCATCCACTTGGGAATCTAGAGACTCCCAATGCACGTCTGGGAGCAGATTAGGGCAACTTCAATCATCACAACACAACCCATTTGACACAAGGACTTTTCCATCAACACTCTAGAGACGTATGAGTGCAAACTCCCTCTGCAGCCACTATAATTTCCATTAGCCAATCCCTCCGGAGCTATGGGAAGTGAAAATCCCTTGAGTACATTGTATTAAAAGAAAATTATTTCATAATTTTACCACCTTTCCTCAGACAAATAGTTTCTATCTCTGGTATTGGTGCTATTACAGTGAACATTTGCAGACTAACGCACTATTCATTACAGCAGTATTAGAATTAGCTGCTCTATAGGTATGTATTTTAGCAGTAGAAGAAAGAGACAAAGTGTGTCTTATAAAATATTTAGGTGCTCTATCCAGAGCTGTCTCTGGTGAGAGCAAGTATTTATTTTAAAATTTGAACCCAGAATTATTTTGGCATTTAACTTCCTCTTTTCCAAGGTGGGGGGAAAAAAAAAAAAAAAAAAAAAAAAAAAAAAGGGAAAAAAAAAAAAAAAAAAATCAAGAAAAAGAGGCTTTTATCATAAACCTTCAGCAAAGATACAAAAACTGCTTGCAGGTGGTTTTGAGGGTGATAAAAACACAGCTGAAGTGAATGTGAAAGTAAATCTGACTCCCAGGGATGGGGACAGAGAATCGAGGAGCGTGGCCACACAGCGACGTGGTATGGGGCCAGCTCTGCACCACTCCCATCCGGCGTGGTCCCCACAGCGAGTGCCATGGGGAGGAAGATCTTTTTTGGGGGTTTTCCAGCTCATATTGGTGGTTTATAACTTCTGGAAGGTGGGTAGCATGCACTTTTTTGCTCTGGCTTTACACAAGGTATAATCACATTCGGTATTTGCCGCACAAGTCTTGCCAACTCATTTCTTGAAGGAAGAGCAGGAGATTCCTTGATAGGCTTTAGTTGAGAGCAGAGAGACAAGCATCACCATACCTGGGGGTCCGCGCTCCCCTGGCTGCCCCCGGGGCCCCGCAGCGGGCGGGCAACAGTCACAGCAGTTGAAGAAGAAATCGGCTGTGTCGAGCGTGTAGTTCTCGAAGGGGAAGAGCGTGGTGGCCCCTCGGGCCGCGGGGCTCGGGGTGGGTAACTTGGCTCTGCCCGGTGCTGCCAGGAGTGAGCTTTTCCCCGTGAGAGGAGTGAGGGGGGTGTGAGAGGCACCAGTGCCCACGAGCTCTAAGGTCTTGGTGTACTTCACAGCCGGGGTGACCTTCATGCCCGCGTGCACGGCGGTAACAACCAGCATCGCAACCGCCGCGATGGACCCCGGTGAGCTCCACATGTTGGCAGCTGTACAAAAATACAAACACGATGATAAACTGCTGCTCAACACCCTCTGCATCCGCTCATTCCCCCCAGAGCCAGAAGAACAGTGTGAGTAGTGTCAGGTACACACAGGCATCGGAAGGGAGGGCTATGTTAGAAAGCCTCGTTTTGTGGGGAAAATAAAGCAAAATTAGCAAACCCTCCTGCCTGCTCCCCACTGTTGACCATCAGCCTACAGAGCACTGGCCATCCAGCAGCTCCTGTTTGCTGTGGTTGGAAGTATCAAGAGCAGGTCAAGACTGGGACACGTGGTGTCTCTCTCCCGAGGGTATAATTAGGAATAATTCAATCGTGATTTCAGAGTCCAACACAACTGCACTTTATAAAAAGCTTTGCTCTGAAAGAATAAATGGAAACAAAATGAAACATCGAGTATTCCAAAAAATTTTTATGTCAATTTTTTTTCTTTGTTACTGACTGTTTTCTGGACTGGCACATTCTTTTAGTGTGAACTTCCAGATCCATTCTTTTTATTTCTACAGTGTTGATTTAGCTGAACCAGGAAGAAAGAACAAAGTAAGAAGCACACAAGTTTTTCCTATAGGACAGATGACGCCTCTCAGATGACTTGTCATATAAAGCATCTTTGTTTCTTTTTTAAACCAGTGTACTGACCTGTAAATACAAATGGAACAGACTCCCCTTTCTTGCTGAACCTGTAATCTAACCTTCCTTAGCAGCTAAGGCACTTCATTACATGAAAAAGTCACCAGGAGAAACTCTGACTATCCTTGCCATCCGGAGGGTGAAAGGAGGTCTGACTCGAAGTTGGGTATTTGGGGGCTGGATTATAATCTTCCCATCTTTAAGAGTTAAGTTTTAGAGGAAAGGGCTATGATTTTTTTTCTATCTTCACACAGAACCAAATCATTTAATGAAAAATAGATTATCCCCACAAAATCCCCAGTGATCACTGTGGCCCACTGCTGCCGTTCGACCCATTCTTCACCCCATCAGCTGCAGTAAAGGATAAATTATCCCTTATGCATGTGTCGCATTAGGACAGGATACCAGGCACTGATTTTTGTCATAAGCTCATAGTTGCTCCCAACCAGCCCCTGCCAACCTTACCATGAAGAGTTTAACTCTGGGGTGGTTGGCACGGGAGGGCAGTGCTCAGCACAGGCAGGCAGAGAGGAGCCAGACCTTACAGCTGGCAGCAGGGAAGCAGCCGCAGTCGCAGAGAAGGAGGGACATCTGCCGTCTAGGAAGAGAAAAAAGAAGCCCCAAATTCTCCTTTTGAAGAATATATTCATGATGCGGGAGTGTTTTCTCACCACTGGAGATAACTAAATAAACCCCATAACTTCCACACATCTAAAGCTGGCAGCAGAAACGGCGACTTTAGACACTGAGTAATTTTATGGGGAAAAAGGTTTCAAGTCAAAACCTTTTCTAGGTTTTACTGTCACAAACTACTTCTGCAACGAGCTCTAAAACCAGGCACTCTCCAGTTACATAGCCAGACTGACGGATTGCTGTCAAATACTGGAAAAACACAATTAATAAAAAAAATATATACCTTACCAATCTGAGAAAATAAGTTTCTCAGAGCAAGGAATCATTAAACAAGTTTTCATTATAATGGGCAAGACTTTCTAAAATAATTATCCCTAAACATATACATGCATTTTAATAAAATGGACATTTTTTTACTTTTTCATTACATTAGCTCACCACCAGCAATTCTAAAATCATTCATTTGAATCCCCCCACTAGGAGAGATCATGATTCACAGTGGACTCAAAATATGAAGTTAAACTCCGCTGCAGTGACAGCTCGTTCACTACATCTACATTTAATTGGATCTAAATATTTACTAACTATTAGCATGTGTCCCATAATAACATTGTAATAATATACTTATTCTTTTGTTTGGTCCCTAAAATGATAGCATTCAGATATTCCAGTCTGCAACAGGTATTTAACCCGTCTCCCAGCTTTAAATATCAGGGGGACGATCGCACTTTCTGTTATTATTTCAAGTTCTTCTACGGGGGAAGGAAAACACTAGTCCTCATGCATCTATACATTCATTTCAGACAGTAACTTGTCTTGAGACAAATTATATTGCCGCTATGTCTTAAATTTTATGACTTCATAGCAAATATCCTGCCTGAAGAGTAAATGACCCGTGCGTGTTATCTCCTACCTTACAAATGGTTCTGCTCCCAGGACGACCCCCCCTCCATAGCACTTTGAAAAAGACAATCTTATTTTCAGAGAGAATCAGTTTTATTTGTGTAAGAGCTTCTCCCGTGGCCAATGAGATCCTGCGTGGTGCGGGGAGAAGCGGGGATTGGCAAAGTCCCCTGAAAGGAGCAAAGTGACATTGAAATCCGAGGAAATTCAAACGCTCTCCCTGGGCTGGGATGCTGCTCTTCACATGGGACTTTTTTGGCTCTTCCCCCAGCACCAGTTTTTGGGCCTTCAGGGACACTTTCAACTCACAGCATCAGGATTTGGTGCCATCAGACTCCGCGTCAAATTTATGTATTTGCTTCAGCAGGGTCCAGGTTTCTCTCTCAGTATTCAGTGTGCAGAGTTTGGCATCGCACCCCCCCTCCTCGAGGTGGGAGTTTACAAAAGGTAAAAATGAAATGACAGAAATAGCTGTATGGGATCGTGAGTGAATGCGTGCACGTGTCTGCATGGAAACACACCAAAAGGGGAATTCAGCCTCAAATCTGGGCCATGCCAGGTAAATGCAGAGACAGGGCAAGCAAATGCTTTCCTCTCCCTCCACCTTCGGTGGGCGGCTGTGCTGCACAGCGGGGCAGCAGAACAAAACCCCCCTGCTGGGAAAAGAGACAAATCCACCCCAGGAGGGTTGCTACGACGTTGTTCTCATTGGAATCCATCACCACTCTGGATTTCGTAGGCTAATTGATTTTTTCCCAGCAATCACAGCACTCGTTTCCTTCCCCAATGACCTTAAAATGGGCCAGCATTTATTCTTAGATTTCCCAGCCCGGTTCAGAGTGCAATATGAAACAGAGGAATGTGAGGCTGCCTTTTATTGCCTTGTCTTGGTGAAATAGGAGCAAGGAAATGGTCTCGTTCAATCAGTCTGAATTTACTACATACCAGTACACTCAAAGCTCAGCTGCCGGACAAGAAAGGCTGCTTGTTTCAGGCAGGCTGGAGAAAACAATCAATTCTCCTTTAATGTAAGTGGAGAGAATCGTAATCCTCCATGATTTATTTTCAACCACCCTTTCCTGAACAATAGTCTACAGCTTTCAGCAATAAAAGGTTAATTAAGGAAATATCACTAAGCATACCAGGCTAGACCGATTCACCAGCTTTTCAGGCTATTCCAAAGAAATCAATTAGGAGTTTAGTGGTGAGATGCTCTAACCCTGGGTAGGACACGGGCTTGTCACAGCTCCTGCAATAGAACCGGCACCGGCACTCACTGGTGCTCGCTGGAACTGCTGAAAACAGAGCTGGATCCTGAATTCAAACAGCTCTTCTTTAAACATTAATAACCCTTTTCAGTACTGTAATTGGACTCAATGTTTTAAACTGAAGTTAAAAATACTTGTGTCCTCAGCAGTCATATTTCTGACAAGATCATGGACACATAAATTGAAGATAAAAGGCAATCAAACCAATTATAACAAAATCCTTACTTTGATCTCAGCTCAGGACCTTTCATTAGCAACAGAAGTTATTTAATAGGGGAAGATTAACAATTTTTAACCAAGAGTACTGCTTTTTGCAATGTTGCCTCCATAGTCACCAAAACTACTCTTTTACAGACTCCAGTGTAATTTGCTGCATTGCACTAAAGCTAAAGCAAGAAACACAGCTTTAAGGGTTGGACTAGGTGATCTTCAAGGCCTTTTCCAGCCTAGATGATTCTGTGATTCCTGGGTTAGTGTATTTTCCTGAACAGCTTGAATAGTAGCAGTGTGGAATAGTAGTATTAGATTATGTGACAACTGCAGCTTTTTAATTTAAACGGTGCTTACTGAGTTACTGAAGCAGTTTAGAAAACTCACGGGTTGAGAGTGCAAATTAAGATTTAGCACTAGATTAATCACTCTGTTTATTCAGGGGATCTAGATCTACATTTTACTGATATAAATGATGCATGTGGGCCATTAAGATTCCTTCAAAGTACATTTCAAACACACTCCTAGCCTTGCATATTTGCAGATAGATGGTTTTGACTGACATTTGCAAAGTTAAATTTAAAAAAAAAAAAAAAAGCTGTGTCCATGCTACTGATTCCTACCTGAGGCTCCTCCCTGGGGGGTCCTGAACCTCTGAAACACAGAGGGATACAGCAAACCGTGTAAATATAGTTTGTATTAAATTAACGGAGTATTTTTTCAATGAGATCTGCAAAGGAGAGTCAAAAAGCACATCACAGAGGGGTCCACTTCTAATTCTTTGTGAATGAAAATAGAAAATTATTTAGACCTGCAGATACAAGGTAGACAAACTAAAAAAAAAAAAAAAAAAACTGGTTTGGAAATACAATCAAGGAGGAAACTGAAGCAGCAGAGCAAATAAGCCAGGTCTGTAATAATCGGTAATTTAAAATCTTAATGCTCAAGTATCAAGAAGGCAAACTGGATAAGAGAATATTCACAGAGAGCAGGAAGTGGGTAAAAACGGAATTATATTACATTTTTGCTGGCTAAGAATTGTTAAAAGGAAATTAACATTCCTATGTGAAAAAACAATTAACACTTCTCACAAAATTTCCCACAATGATTTAGCAGATCTCCTGGAAGAGGCCCTCCTTTCACACACACCCCCCATTAATTTTATTTTCTGAAACACTGAAACGTGTTCTGGTTTCCTTTAATCATCATCAGAAAACAAGTGAGCTAATCAGAAAATGGGCTGAAATTAAAATTTTCTGCTATGTTGTTAATTAGGGGCGGGAATATTACCGTATGAGACAGTGCAATGCCAAGATACAACTTTTTTTCTCCTCTCTTATGTACACAGTATGCTGTAGCCTAATTGTCACTTAGAAGCAGCACTAAATGGACAGAAGGATTTCACCCTTGTTGGGTGGGGGGGAAAAAAAAAAAAAAAAAAAAAAGAAGGTGGCTGCTTTTTTTCTTTTGAAAACCCACTGGAAAAACTATAATTTCATTTTCTCCCCCATTTTCCCTGTGCTTTCTCTTCTTTTCCAACCTGGAAATCCAGCCAGCCCGTGTTTTCCAGGCTGACCCCTTTTTACAGGGATTTCAGGGTCTCCTTTGGGCCCCAACAATTCTCAGATGCCATGTGTCCCTTCCAGCCCTTCTCATCCATTTCTCCTCTGTCCCCCTTGGACCCCTTTTCTCCCCACTTACCTCTCAGTCCTGTGTCACCCCTGGGACCCAGTTGCTCCTTGTAGCTTGCAGATCCTGGAGGCATTCCAGGACCAGTTTGTCCCCTCCATGAAAGAAGTGCCGCTCCACCACTGAGCACCTCACTGCTCTTCTCCCTTTGGTCCTCACTGTCCAGATCATCCTGGGGGTCCTTGTTTTCCTCTCTTCCCAGTGTACCCTGGTTTACCCAGAAAAAGGAAAAAAAGTGGTTAAATCCCCTTTACTAAGAACAACATGTCAGAATAGACAGAATACAGCTCTGTAGAAGAACCTTCACTGGTCATCAAATTACATGTTCACCTCGTAATGTCAATTTTTTTCTGTGCAACATATGACTATTGGGAACTAAGCTGTAAAAACACCACAACAAAGCAAACAAAATATAAAAGATCAAAATCTTTTTTCCATCTGGAGATGCTGCTATTCAGATGCCATGGAGAACAGCCCACTCTGGGGGTACTGCAGCCATCCTGGAAGCCAAGAGGTCACGTGTGCTGTGCCCACTTCTACAGCATTTAAGATGCTAGTTTGTATGGGTTTTTTTGCAAAACAAAGAATTATGAACTAAATGCTTGAGAGAAATAAAACCTAAAAATAAAATTAAAAAAAAAAAATAATTTGTCTCTACAGTTGTTTTGTTTTCAGCTTAAAATTTGGGGGGGGGGGGCTTTCATTTCTGACAAAAACTTTAAATAGTGTGTGGTGTAAATATTAAATATTTATGTAGAAAAAGGAGCTACTACTCATGTAGGATTTTAAGATGCTTGACTTGGAAAAAAAATACTGCCATAGGGATTTTCATTGGATGCAAAGGAATGATCTCCCTGTACAATCAGTATAATTGCATTTAGTGTTATCAAGATTCAGATATCAAGGGGAAAAGAAGATCAGAAATAGATCTGCATCAGTCTATGCCAGTATATCCCACAAACCCTACACCATATTTTGTTTTAAATGTCCTAAATCTGCAGGATGGCAGTGCAGTTACACCTAAATAGAGATTTATTGCACTTGAAAGTATAATGGCTAGAAGGACCCCCAAGCTACCGTTTCACATAAATAATCATTTAGGGAGTTATTTAAGGACTGTAAGAACTTCAGGATATCTATTACATTCCATCGAGTCAATCACTCTAAGGGTCCCTAAATGCATATTTAAAATACCAGTAACATGTACTTATTTATGTGAGAGACTGGAATTAGAGCACACGAGTTGCTGTAGCTCATCGGGCTGAACTCCTACACTGCTGCTGATTTTCTGAAGCCCTTTCAGGGCTGTTAAATGGCCCCTCAAACAAATGCACCCCCCCCCCTTGCATCATACCGCTGCAGCAGGGAGCAGAGTGTAGCCCCACTCCAAGCCCTGCTCCGGGGCACGGATCTCTTTTGTCAGGATCTGCAGATGCCTCCGGACTTGACTAAAAACACATCCATTGTGCTCGTCTGGAAACTCTAGATGGCCAAAGGTAAAAAGGGATCAAATTGCCTGGCTCCCCTTTTTCACCCTGGTCTCCCTTTGTGTGTGGGGCTTGGGGATGTCACAGAAACCCTGCGTTTCTGGTGTACTGCTGGTTTCATTCAGTGTGTTTAAGAAACAAAATAGTCCTCAATAGCCGTGCCTTTGCTAATAGCGAGTGGTGGGATTGTTTCCCTCCTTGTCCCCAGCACCACCTTGCAGGGAAGATGATATTTGCTGGGGGGGAGGTTTGAAATGCCAAGCTGATTGGTGATAGTAGCTTGTCAGCCCCTCCGCTGGCCGCATGCTGGGGCTGAGGATGCCAAAGAAGCCCAGAAACCCGCCGAGTGCCACCCTCTGGGACCACTTTGGTGGCATGTCCCCAGTGGGGACAGCGGGTGCCCCGTTCCCTGTTCCCCACTGCTCCTGGTATCGATGGGAACCAGCTGACTGCCCCACGAGCTTTCCCAGCAAAATGATTACTTCTAAAAGAAAAGATACACAGTCATA